TACAACTATAAGGAAGGATACCAATAGACTTCCAACAATCGTGACATTCAAACCCTCAAATTTTAGCGCTTACCTTAGGGTTGTGCGGTCTTACGATTAAGAAAACGGCCGTAATTTTCTTTGTCGACAGCCAGGGAGGAACAGGAAAGACTAAGACCCTCATGCGAATTCGGCGCGTTGTCGAAGGAAATCGCTCTTGCAGTAGCATCCTTCGGCATCGCGGCGTTGCTGTCGAGCAAGAACATACGGCGCACTCGAAGATGAAGATAAAATGATACCTATAGACGGATGTGCACGTCTGGTGCTTGCGAAAAAACATGCGAATCGCCTACGCAAAGCCAATCACAGACCTCGGAACATAACGTTTGCGGATTGGCTGCTTGCCATGGCGATGACCGGATGAAGAATCTTGACGAAGACCGCATACGCTGCCCTGCCGCAATGGTGATGCGCACTTACACTTTCGACGGATGGATAAATGCCATTTATAACAGCGTTTAGAATGCTGGAATGATCCGCGAGTGTACTTCAGCCTACGGGCCGTCCTTGTCGCCCGCAGCGAAAACGTTGCGTAGAACAACACGGTGGTCCTTAACATGGTTCCTAGCAAAATCTATGAGCTCCTTAGCGCCGACAAGGTTGATGACGAGGGGGGCGCCAATGTAATTCCAACGGAGTTTTATTTAGCCCACTCGACGTCAATGGCTGGCCGCCACATCGCCTGCAGCATAAGGTTCGCTCATACATCATGCTCTTACGAATTTGGATGCATCGACCGGCCTGTACAATGGAACCCGTCTTATCGTACGGCGGTGTGATCAAAGCTGTTTTGACTGGAGCTTAAGCCGGATACGTGTGCTTCATTCCACGGATCGCGTTAATTTTCGAGCAATCACGCCTTCCATACACCGTCCGGCAGAAGAAGATCCCCGTGCGCTTGGCGATCGCAACGACAATAAATAAGTCCCAGGGACAGACGCTACAGAGGGTCGGCATAAGTCTTGCAAAGGACGTGTTCTCGGATGGGCAATTGTACGTTGCCTTCTCACGTGCGTCGGCACCTCAGACCGTGTAGATACCTAGAAATAGACTCCGCGATGCGTCGGCTGATGCGCAATGTTGTATATAGCGAAGCGTTGCGTCATAGATGAATATATACACTAAATAAACAGATTCGCGCACCTTGTCCGTCGGAGCGACTGGTACACACGCTAATCTATATAATAATACTTTGTTGTGCGTCTGTCCGTTTGATCATTTTCCAGCATTCGGATTGGCTAGTGTTGCATTATTCGCTAATTTTGGATTGGCTGATTTTGCATTTTGTACTATTATTACGTGAGCAGATTTCCATAACAGAATATATAGTCCATCCAGAGTGTTTGTATCCCGTGCTTTTTTATACAATACATCGACGAAACGATGGGTACACATCATCCTCCATACCCATCATTACATATTGATCTATCAAACACAGCATGTAATTGAAATATAATATAAGGTACATGCTTTGATTCGTGTCCAAAAATAGGCTTATTACTCAAATAAAATTTACTAAAATGTTAGCAGAAGCAAGCGTTGTCAACAGATTGAATTGAGTTTAGTTACAATAAGCGAAGTGACTCAAATGAAATGCATCATACATATAGATTACCAATGTCAATCGGATATTAAAAAGTAAAAAGATAAGTAAGAAGATCAAAGGCAGCCTTCGTTTACTGTTTTTGTCGGAATGATGGGTATACATTGACCTGCGAAACGACAATTTTACATTGACGGGCCGTCGACAGGTACATTTTGACTTTCGTACACCTTCACTTCATAGTTAGCAATTATCTGACTCACCCACAACCAATCGTCTAACGCGAAAGCTGAGCGGATGCATCATACTTTAATAAACATGTTGCGCTTGATGATATTTGGTTTGTGGCTGCCGCAGAGCCTCTGGAATGATGCAGCCGATTAAGCGACCTACATTCTCAAGCGAAGCCCGACTCGGAGTAACGAGGAACGAGTGTTCCCTACCGAGGTGCTAACGGGTGTCAAGCCTAAATTGACTGATATAGTTATTTTTGCTCTCCTTGTACCGCTCTTCGGACACCGAAACACAAGACACTTGGCAGACGCGGAGTGGATAAATTAATAATCGGCGAGAGCGACGAAGCCAAGGGAACCGTGTTTTGTTTACGAAGGACCGCGTGGCACGCACAGCACAGATCGTTCAAAATATCAAAACACTGAGAGAGGAAGCTAACGCGCAGCTCATTCGCCAAGCAGGCGAGGAAGCTGAACCAATGGAAAAGACAACTGGGGTCAAGAAACAGACTCGATGAGTCGGTTAAAAGGTCATCACATATGCAAAACAGCTCGAATGAAACCAACGAGGCATTACATAAGTCAATAGTGTCAACAAGGAGGCACGGCAAGAAATGCATGTGCTCCTTGACGATAACACTTTAGCGTTATCAGAAGCGTCGACCTGTGACCGACCTATTGGGGTGTCATAGACGATATGGATGCTAAAAGCGTAGCGAAGCTTAGCACTTTGTGGATGAGCGATTATCGATCACACGTAAATTCCGTGACGCAATGGCAAGCGCACAGGACAAGCAAAAACAATATGCGGACTAACATGGTCGCAAAAACAATGAACACTTTAGTGTGGGGGACAAAGTGCTATTAAGTACTGCTACCTTACCTAAAAATGCAGTTTCTGTACTACCTGGTGGTACTACTAAGCTATTTCCCCGGTTCATTAAGCCATTTACGGTAACCGGGGAGGTTGGAGACCTATATTATAGGCTTACTCTCCCACCGTGTATGAAAATGCACCCCGTATTTTACGTGGGTAATCTGAAACGGTATGTGGATCCACAAGAGATCACATATCCACATCGGTCTAACGAGACCGATGGTGACGTCGACTGTTAGTCGAGCGTCATTGCCGATCAGGAGACGAGGAAGCCAATAGGCTCCCCGTATACGAGGGAGACGACAGAGGACTCGGTGATCGAGGAGGAATCTTTATTTGACGCGGGTCTCTCATCACCAGTCTCTACAAAATGTCCAAACGAAATTTTAGGCGATCACACTTCTGACGATCCCTCGTATTCACAGCGTATATATCCGAGGTCAGTCGCGAGGCTTGACTCGAAAGATTCGCCACCTCTTTCTTCAGCGCAGCGATCTCCGCCTGCGACTGAACGACAGCAGGATAGGCAGCCGCGAATAGTTGGACGTCATTGCCGCTCCTATCGGACGCCACCTGTGCTGGTGGATCTGGGTGGGAACACACGCTTCCTTGTTGTAAGGTTGTTGGCCCACCGCTATGTGAAGCAAAAGCTTCAGATCATTGTCCAGTGGAAGGGATACCCGAAGAGATTCGACTCTTGGGAACCGGTCGACGCGTTGCGTGTCGATGTGCCTGGGCTGGTGGATGCTTACGAGCAGAAGCAACAGCTGCATTCGCTCTGCTAGGTCCTGATGAACTAGCAGGGGCAGCGTAGCGAAAAGGAGTTGGAGGTATGTTATCACCCAATATCTTCCTCGCACGCGTCATAGCGAAGCTTATTCGCTTCGACCACTGTTTCACTGCATCTATATGCGGTGTAACACGGCGCAGGATCTCTGCCTCGTATCTTCGGCTGTTTCGTTAAAACGCAACACGACGGGGATAGGGAAAGCATCAACTAGTGCTTTGCCATGTCTTTTCCACGATGGATAGACGCAAAAAAGTTTATTAGCGTCAATTGTGGCACGCCTTAAAAGCGTCGCACTATTACCACTCGAGCGTGACTACTCGGATGGTGGTGGCATCTCTGGCAAACCATCACTCACGTAGCCGCCCTCGCGACGGCGTGCTAGTGAGGCTTACTGTGAAGTAGAAGGGGCTTTTTGGTCACCCTCGCCTGAGTCTGACTCCTCATTATGAATTGCCAAGACATCAGATGTAGGGTTGACAGAGAAGGACGATTTAGAATCGCCGACCTGCTGTTGAGTCGCGGCTGTTTCTTTCGAAAAAGCGTGCTCAGTTGTGGTCGCTGCGCTCGTTGGCGCAGATGACTCTCGCTGTCAGGAAGCATAGAAGCTTCCTGAAGGTTAAGTGTCCTTAAGGATGGGGACAAATGTCCCATGAGAGCACTGTGCTCATCACGACTTTAGGGTGATGGCAATGGTATGCTTTCATTGTAGTCTACAATAAGAGAAGGGTCTTCATCCGCACCATAATGGGATGGACCAGTGTTCTTTGCTGACAAGCTGACATTAGATGTCGGCGTTGTCACAAAGACACTTAGCGACGGCTGCGAGTTATCGCGGCGCGTACGCTTTGTGCCGGTCTGCATGAGCGCCTTTGCAGGCAATCCATCGTTCTTACCACGTTTTGGTGGCATCTTTTTGCTTTCGATGTTTTACAAAAAAGTAGAATAGTCTTAACGAGGGGGATGGTGTAACGGGCTAAAAGTTACACGGTTCGTAAAGTATCGAATACTTAATGGGCAGGCCTAAAAGGGTACGAGATACTTTAGGCCTGCCACTTGGGTGTGGCACACCAATGTGACCCACGCTCACAAACGCGCAGGAGCGAGAAACACTCAGGAGTAGCGATAGCGCCACAGACGCTATCGTGAACCCAATTTGTATGTTAGGGCTCAAAGAATTGTATCTGGTCGCATTTCTCCATAACAGCCATGCTGTCTACAGCGAGAAGAAGCCCACAACCCGAATGAAATAATCAGATCCATAAGGATAAAGTACCACACCTGAACGGCTACAACTAGAATGCTGCGAGAAATGCAATCCGCCTCTCTCAGTAGATATGCTGATTCAGCTCTTTGAAAGCTTTCAGGTGATGGATTTGCTAGAATACCTTGACATGCGGAAAGAAGTTGGCAAAGAAGTCGAGCCTCTACAAAATCACCTTGTGCAGCTCGTCCAAAGTTGTGACAGTAAGTGCTTACCACTCGATGATTTTACTGCGGTGCTTGGGTCGAACTCGTCCGTTAGAATGTTGAGAGACTTTGCCCTCCATTGCGATACTCGGGCAAACCTAAGAAGTCATGAATCAGTATCCAGAACAGGCAAAACAAATTGTTTAAGATCTTACCATTCATTAGCTTGAGGTCTTTAACTTTGAACCCGGCATCCTGACGTGGCTCCGTCAGCGAGTACGTTCACCACTGCGACAGCTTGTGAACACTCACAAATGTGCCCGCTTTTTCATGATCCGGCAAGTAACTGATATGAAAATTCACAGGACTCATGTCAATGTTTCATGGCCTCGTATTCATGTACTTTCACCAGTTCACGCACGGCAACTCCCACTCGTCGTCCATGTTCTGACCTCCAAAAGCGCGTTCGGCTCTCGGACCAAATATCCTGCAGTCCATGCAGCACTGTTTCCACAAATCCGTATAGAATATTTCTTCATCGGTATTCTGATGTTTCATCAGGTAGTCCACCATATTACCCAGTCGAATCGATCCGTCCGTCCTCATGAAAAACTCTGAATCGTGGACAATGCTCTTGCCCTGACGCTACATCATCATATCAAATCAGTATTATAAACTACAATCCACAAAAAACAATGATCACCATGATCACTGTAAGTAGTAGATCCATTCCTCCAGCACATCCACCAGTCGTGTGACCAGCTTAACCTTCATATGTTTGAATCCGCACATCGTACGATTCGAGATCTTTTCATCGATCATTCTATCAGAGGGAACAGCGAATAAATGTCGTTAACATACAATATGAAAATACTTCTATAAGCAGAGGTGTGGTAGCATCGACTCGAGAGATTATAAAGTTGAATGAGAAGTACTGCCTCCATTTATCACAAAGTGGCATCCCATCATAGTAACCTAAGTAACTCCATTACGAATTCGTCCTAAACAGAGACAAGTCTACATCTTTACAATCAATTGGTATACAAAGATCGGTATTAAAAATTCAATCAGGTCAATCCATGTGATATATTGCAATAATACAATATAAAAATCCAATGGATCAAGAAGGTCGCGGCCACCATCACTTGGATGCCGAAATGTACAGCACTATCACCGCACGCAAAAAAGCATAAAGTTTCCTCAGTATCAAATCCAATTGTTCCGTCAAAAAAATTACAGCAATAAACAACAGTTGACTGACCATTATTGCCTCGGATGAAGCAGTCTCCGTATTGCGCTTTCAGCTGTCCATTCTGATACTCCTGCGTCTGCTCCATGGCGATATTCATATATCCATCGAGACAGGCAAGTACACCCTTGTACTTTACGCCATTATTAAGCTTTACGTCCACGGGACGGCCTAGTACACCCTTGAGAAAGTCAGACGGTGTCTTCTTTGTCGCAAGTAGTCCCTGTGTCTCGGCCATTGTAATTTTTAAATTAACGTCTTGAATTGTAATCAAACGTTTGATCGTTTCATTGAATTCTTATCAAACACATTTACTTTCGCATCCGTTTTTTTCAATTACAGTATGGACCACCGGCGTAAGACCCAAGCAATCGACTATTTTGACGCAGAAGAGAGTGGAAATGAGAATGAAGAACCTTCAACTATTGATGATGATGACCAAGTAGATCCGTTGGACGCTTTCATGCAGGGAATTGATGCCCAAGTGAAGCAACAACGTACAGCACCGCCTAAACAAGTGGTTGATAAGCCTCAAGTGTTGAATTTTGACGACGACGATGCTGATAGTTATCTTGAAAAATACGCCAGGGTTTGATTGAGCCGTTTTTTATAAAACTCAATACTTGCAATAATGGTGATATGTTTTATTGACTTTATTATTCTTCGTTCTTTATTGGTTCTACAGAATACCAAGATACCTCAAGTGCATTTGGAAGACTCGGATGAAGAAGTTTATGCCACTGCAAAGCAACTGGAAAATGTTGAAAATGGTGAAGATTTGGAGAAGAAAGTGATGGAAGTTTTGACTCCAATTGACCATTCTACGGTCCAGTACGAACCGTTTCGGAAAACATTTTACACGCTGCACAATGAAACAGCAGCTCTTACTGAGCACCAAGTGGCCAAAATTCGAGCAGAATTGAGTGTAAAAGTACATGGAGCTGACGTACCAGCTCCTGTGAGGTCTTTTATGCATCTCGGTTTCGACCGAAAAATGCTCCAGATGCTCATGAAACTCGGACTGGAAGCTCCGACAGCGATACAGGCGCAAGCTTTTCCAGTGGCTCTTTCGGGGCGAGATCTAATTGGAATTGCCAAGACGGGGTCAGGAAAAACATTGGCGTTCACGCTTCCGATGATTCGTCATGTGATGGACCAAAGGGAGTTGAAGAGAGGTGAAGGACCGATTGCGGTCGTGCTAGCACCTACAAGAGAACTTGCACACCAGACGTACATCCAAGCGAAGAAGTTTTTGGCAGTCTATGGGGCTTCGTGTGCAGCGATTTACGGTGGAGCTGGCAAGTGGGAACAGGTTCAAGCACTGAACAAAGGTGTTGAAGTCGTTGTTGCAACTCCAGGGAGACTTATTGAAATGATCCGGAAGAAAACGGCTCCTATGAATCGCGTGACCTTTGTGGTTCTTGATGAAGCCGATCGCATGTTTGAAATGGGATTCGAGCCTCAGTTACGCTCGATCATGGGGCAAGTACGCCCAGATCGCCAAACACTTATGTTTTCAGCTACTTTCCGTAGTAGAATTGAGTCTCTCGGGCTTGATGTGCTTACAAACCCAATAAAGCTGACAATTGGCCAGATCGGCCAAGCTAACGAAGATATTCGCCAGATTGCTGTAGTACTGCCGGGGCATGGGGCAAAATGGCCTTGGCTAATGGCACGGATGCGCACTTTAGTTGACGAAGGTCGGTTGCTCATCTTTGCCGGAAGCAAGGCTGGTTGTGAGGAGCTGGCGAAAAACTTGGCCGTCGCTTTTCCTGCGGCACCCGCGCTCTGTTTGCATGGTGACAAAACGCAACAGGAACGAACACAAGCGTTAGCAAAATTCAAACAGGGGGAATGTCGTGTTCTTGTCGCTACTGATGTCGCTGCCCGTGGGCTGGATGTGAAGGATGTGAAAAATGTGGTAAATTTTGATGTGGCCAAAAATATCGATACTCATGTGCATCGCATTGGCCGAACGGGACGAATGGGGCTGGAAGGGTTCAAGCCTGGTACTGCGTATACGCTGGTTACCCGTAACGAGGCACAATTTGCTGCCCAACTAGTGTATAACATGGATGTTTCAGGACAGACAGTATCATCGGAGCTGCTTGCTTTAGCTAAACGGGACGCACGCTTTCATCGCGGTAGAGCTGCAGCTGGCAGTGCCAATGGTGCAGAAGGCGGGCAGCGTGTCATTCCAAACCAACAGCACACAGGAACTCACGACGGAGACAAAAATCGTGCTATCGATGCGGAGGATGCTGTAGAGTTGGATCGCTGGAACGATAGTCGCCGAAAGAGCAAGTCTGACCAACGCAAAGGTTTGGGTTTCGCAGGTACTGGGAATATCAAAGCTGCAGGGGTGAAGCCAGTTGGAATGAGCGGATTCGTTAAGGCGTCAGCACCCGCGACATCGTTGGCTACTGCTTTTCGTTCAGGCTTTGTGAAATCGACATTGAGAACCGATACTGTAAAACAGCCTTCGCCACCCAACGTTTCATTTGTAAGCTCTCAAGCCGCACCTCTACCGCCAGTATCGATCCCATCGGCTCCAATGAACAAATCGAGTCCAATCACTGCGCCGCCATTACAACAAAGCACGCAATTCGCGGGAAGCGACTTATCAAGCAACAATGTACCGTTAGTTCCTCCGCTGTTCCCGCCAGCTATGGTCGTGCCACCCGATGACACGAAGGCGCATGTAGTAGCTACACCTGCATCTGGAATGCAGCATGAAACAGCTCCATGCTTCGGTCCTGACTCATCACAGCGTGCAAGTGGATTACAGTCAAAAAGTCAAGATCAAGGAAGCCGTCAAAGTCCTTTTCGAAGTCCCTCTCGTAGCCGTAGCAGGTCAAGGTCAAACAGTCGATATCGCCGACGTTCCCGTTCAAGCTCACCGAGAACTTATCGCAGAAGCTGTGGGAGATCACCTTCCTACGATCGCCGTCGTCGGCGAAGAAACAGCTTCGACAAGAGCCGCAGTCGCAGCCTGTGTCGGAGACGAAGTCGGGGTTCGAGTAGAGGGCAGAACCGTAATCGAGATCATGGGCGAAGGCGACAACGATCGCTTTCTCGATCACGTTCCAAAGAACGTTGGAGGCGTTGAAAGCCAACAACTTCCGAAATGAAGCGAGCAGGGCGTCACCAATTCTTTTTTGCTCAAGCTAAACGCGTTAATACTGTTCGTGAATTACCTGGGTTTGCTTACACCTACACTACGAGGGAAATGCGCAAGACACGGAGGCGCAACGGGATGGAGGGATTAACAAAACCTATAGGAAACTACATGATACTGAGGCGGTAGCTTACGCGTTGATCGAGTCGACAAGCGTTCGTCGTGACTGCACCCCGTGACTGCACCCCGTGACTGTACCCCACCAAAGAGCGATCTATTCTCTGTCAATTCACGCCTGCGCCTCCGGTGCAGCAGCATCCGCTGAAATTTCTTTTACCTCTGTCTCTGCCTCTGCACTGGGTGATTCCTCCAAACTGCTAGCGTCCGTCGCAGTCTGGGTTTTTGTCTCTGTCTCTGTGTCCACCGTGGTCGTAGGTTCCGTCGTCGCAGGAGTCTCCAAAGTTGTCTCCACCGTGGGCGCAGATTCTGTCGCCGCAGGAGTCTCCAAAGTTGTCTCCACCGTGGGCGCAGATTCTGTCGCCGCAGGAGTCTCCAAGGTTGTCTCCACCGTGGGCGCAGATTCCGTCGCCGCAGGAGTCTCCAAGGTTGTCTCCACCGAGGGCGTAGATTCCGTCGTCGCAGGAGTCTCCAAGGTTGTCTCCACCGGCATCTTATCTGTTGTCGTTTTCTCCGTGGCAGGAATAGCAGCGACCTTAGTAGGCTCCGCGGCGGCTGCGGCGCCTCGATGGTTCACAGCTAAATCTGCCGTGGTTACAACAGGTGGCACAGGCTCATCATCATTAAACCCGTCGTTTTCCATGCCCGGAATGGGCTCAAATGGAATATCCTCAAAAGTGCCCTCAAACTTGGCCCAGCTGCCGCCCGACTCAAAACTTGCCCATCGATCGACGCCCACGCCGCCCTCACTATCCTTAGGAGCACTTTCTTGCCGTGCAAGCTCCTCCTCATCTTCTTCCTCGCTACTGCTGCTGTCGTTCATGATTTCTGGCAGCATAGGTGTGTCAGTGTCCTTAACGTCAAAGTCCGTATCAAAGCCATTGGGGTCGGAGCCAAAGCCCGAGGCACCTAACATCTCTGCAAATTGTGCGTTCAAAAGGTCGTCATTCTGGTTAAAACCCATAACCGAGTATGGGTCTTCACCTCCCTGTGAAACCGTGACGCCACCCAGAGGCATACGTTCACGTTCATAAATGGGGGCAAGCACTTTGCTCGATAGTTCCTCCCATCTTTTCCACGTGCCTTCGTCCTCTTCAAAAACTTCCAGCACCGTATCTGCATGCCGCATCTCGTTTAAAGATCCCTCTTCGTTTGTGCTACCACGCATATCCTCCAGCATCGTCATTAGCGTGTTGCAAATTCGGTGAAGGTGGCCTACGTATCCAAGTGAAAAGCCCTTGGCGACAGCTGTAGCTTCTTTGTTCTTCTCGTGCGCCTCAATGATGCGCGACAGCAAACGCGCTTCCTTCACTAATCCTACCAGCAAATCGTGGCTACCACTTTCTAAAATGCCAATTATCATGCTCTCGATGTCTGCGTGGAGCATGTTTACCAATTCGAATTTGAAGAATAAGTCCAGGCAAATACCGATAGCTTGCTGCTCAAGCAGTGCGCTATCCACCTTCTGGTATTTGGACTGCATCAGTAGCACAATGAGTCCAACCATCTTCAATCGACGCAGTCCCAGGCGCGGGACCTCCTGGTGACGCTGATTACGAATAATACCGGCATCAACCCCGTCTCCCTGAAGAATCGTGCATATTTGCGGCAGACGCTCTACAGTGCATGCCACCACGGGTGGAACCTCGTCCGCCGCGGAGTACTGCGCATTTGTAGCACGCGATAGGAGCGCACTTAGTACAGAAATTGCACCTGACATTGACGACACACTCGAGTCAGCGGCACCATGCATAGGCACAGCCAACGCAACCAACTTATCAGCAATTTCCTTCGTCTCCAAATGTTCCAACAGTGCAAACGATACAGGTGCACTCGAACTCGCAGGCGAAGCCGGATCCGTCTGTTGCGCACGGGTTCCACAGTGAATAATGTCCACCAGCACTTCCGACGCATGCTTGTGAGCGTCACTATCCACCTTTATATCTTCCAGTGTCTTCATCAGGAGATCCACAACCGTCGGCTCCGATTGCCATGTCAGCGTCTTTTCCTTTGATGCCGTGGGAGTTTCACTTTCACTCAATCCCTCCTCATCTTCGCCTCCATACCAAGAGTTTGAAGGTGGAAACCCCATCGACATGCCAGGAAAATCCATACAGTCGTCCATATAGTCGGCCTGATAAGGCTGCAGCAATCGTTTAAGCAGCTCTGCAACAGAAAAATTGGCCACATGGTGCGCAAATCCCGCAAGCAACTTGTCCGAATTCTTATTAAGCAACGTCGTCATCTCCTGTGGTTTACGGACCATGAGCATCATGACAATTTTCTCAAAGTATCCAGCCAGACGTGGGTCCAATAGCTCGTCCAGCTTGTACAAAAACTCAAAAAGTGCATCCACAATTTTCCCGTCCGATGCAGTCACTAACGTGTCCGTAATGCTCGAAATATCACAGCAAATGACTTCACACGACATGTACGGATACTTTAGTGTACGCAAATCATCAGATTTGTCCTCAGGTGATCGTACAACATATTCCACAAGTTGATGTACGATATTTTCCTGTGAGAGACTAAAATAATTTAGAATCGTCCAAATTAACAAAACAAAAAAGAGTCATTAGATCAAAATTACAAATTTCTAATTCTAAACAAATAAAACGACAGAATAATGGTCGTACAAGTCAATGAGTTTCGTATTGCGTGTCTTGACTTCCTGTACAAGTTCATCCTCCTGAAGGACTTGTTCAAGTGTAAAATCGTCCTTCTCTAGCAGATCATTAAGTGGACTTGAGATGTTAAAAAGTGACGAGCCCTGGCCCCACACGTTGCCTTCGTCAGCCATGGCAGAGAATAGTGACATATTTTGTCTCTCTTTCTCTTTGTATAGGCAAGTACAAGACCTCTTTACTCCCTCTCTCTCTCTCTTTGGATAAAAGAAAGCAGACTCTTGGGCTCCGCGTAATTAGAGGCTGGAAGTTTCTTCTTCCCTGCCACCACCTTCCCTCCCCTTTATCTCGACCCGTTTTTGTGAAGAATCAGTTTATCGAGGGGATTATAATCGAAGCAATAGTTTAAGTAAATAATAAGAGAATTATATGTATAAAGGTAGGCAGCAAAAGATACCCCGCAATTTGGAAGATGGGACTATACTCGTCCCGCGGATTGGTTAATATTTACTTGCGCTTTTATGAAATATTTTTCTTAATGGCTTTGTTCACTACATTAAAATATTAATGTGTGATTGGTCTAGAGGCACAAGTTTTGTTGAGGATTGGCGATGTTTTGTATTGACAATAACTAATGAGGAGGGGAACAAAACTTTAGTGTTAAGTTGTTGTAGTAGAATATGCAATAAGGTCTGCTATGGCTACAGCCCCCAACTAACTGCATATTACATGTATCCTTTATTGGTCAGTTTATCTGACATGAGGAGTTTTGGTTGATGAAATTCTTTGTGATGTTAGCTGAGTAGTGGTCAGTTTTGTCCGATAGGATCGTATGGCGATATGGACATGGGGTTACAGTCACAACAAGCGACAAGAAAATCAACACGAAACCAATTCTATTGTAGTTCTATTGTTGTATTGTTAAATTGTAACGATTACCGCTTTGCAGTGAGTCTCCAACCAGTTAGAATAATGTGTTAATAATCCAATACGAAGCCTCTAGCTTTAAATTAGACCGCAAGCAGTTTTTACGCATTGTTACAAAATCTTGAGGCTGTTAGTTAAAATATAAAGTCAACCGTAAAACGTTTAAGTTGCTACAATGTTACACCGTGTTTTGCACACCTCGACGGTTTCAAAGTCCTTTTTTGTCATCGATCTTTATACCTGTAAATCTACTATTTTAGTGTGTCATTTCGTGTGCCCGACGTGCCTAAATAAGAGCCCGCCCTTCCCGCCATGTTTGCGTCCAAGCTCGGCTATAAAAATGCGCAAACACGTTTTAATCTACTTCTGCTCGAGGACGGCGAGTTCTTTCTCGATGTACGCAGACTCCTTTCTCTATCGTGTCTCTCTGCTTTTATTATTCTAACAAAGGGGTAATTGTTTCTTAAATTGTATTTTTTGGTATATTTCTTTTATTTATAGGATTTTAGTGTACATCGCTTTCTAGAACCTAACCCTGAGTCACATCGGTACGTAAAAAAGGAAATGATTTTTTATGAAAAGTTACAATATATTTATAATTCTTATTTTTTACTTAATGTGTGTCTTATGATTTTGCAGAAAAGTGCAGGGAAGACTAAAAATGTGCACGCGTGGCTTCTTCTTTGAGCCTCAAGACACCAATTTACCTATTTTAAGATTCTTCTTTCGAGATATGAAAGAAATGCCCGTAGCAGAGTTACATGACCGTCCAGAAGCTGGAGATTGTGCCATTTTTCTAGCATTCAAGGTATCCTCGGTGCTGGAAATGAAAGAAAGAGGAGTGGACCATCCTTACGTGCAGAAAGAGGCTGGTTCTAGTACCGGAGTCCCAAAGAAATACACTTTTTTGCTGCTGCATTCGAAAATTGAAGAATTTTTGAAGAACGTGCAGCCAATTTGGGAACTTTCACACAAGGAAAGTGTTATGAACAAAGTGGACGAAGAGGCTCTGCTGGAGCCTGTATTGCAACCACGACAGACGGATCAGTTTGATTCGAGTTTGTTGGTGGATTTTCGTGAACGTCCGTTGCAAACAAAGGGAAAAATAGTGGACCGTATTGTGCCGTTACTGAAGTATCCGGGTTGTCTGATGCTGACAAATCAGCGACTGTATTTTCAACCAGCACAAGTGAACAATGTCGGTGACCCTGTGCTGAATTGGGCGTACAACACGATCGAGTACTTGTACAAGCGACGACATATGCTGAAGCAGACGGGGTTGGAAATCTTTTTGAAAAATGGAGAAAGTTTCTTTTTTGGCTTCCGAAACCATCATGATCGCGATGAAGTGTATGATATGATGGTGGACCAGTCAGATCTAAAACACCTGCAGCAGACAGATTTGGAATCAATGCTACGTAAATGGCAACAGCGCGAAGTATCAAACTACGATTACCTGCTGTATTTGAACAACAGTGCCGGTCGCACAAAGAACGACCTTACGCAGTATCCGGTGTTTCCGTGGATTTTGAGCGATTACCAAAGCCCATCAATTGACCTGTCAGATCCAGCTATATATCGTGACCTGTCAAAGCCCGTTGGTGCGCTCAATGAAGAACGTCTGGGATATTATAAAATGCGGTTTGAATCGATGCCACGTGGTATGGAAGATGAGGGATTGCCTCCGCCCTTTCTGTATGGAACACACTACTCCACTCCCGGATATGTGCTGTATTACTTTGTGCGCATGGCTCCTGAGTATATGCTTTGTCTCCAGAATGGGAAGTTTGACGCCCCCGATCGGCTGTTCCAGAGCATTCCTAGTACCTGGAGCAGTTGTAACACAAACCATGCTGATCTAAAGGAGCTTATTCCAGCTTTCTTTGACGATTCGCTGCCCGCGGAGGAGTGGCTGTGCAATGGGAAAAATCTTGATCTTGGGACAACGCAAAAGCTAACAAGGGTACATAGACTAACTTGCTCTTTTAGGTTACTTATGGTAAGAACACTAATTGTGCTTGCTTCTTGTGCTGGTCCTTGCTCTACATGCAGGTCGGAGACGTTGAGCTTCCTGCATGGGCATCTAGCCCATCTGCATTTATTCGTATTAACCGAGAAGCGCTGGAAAGCGAATACGTTTCTGATCACCTTCACGAATGGATTGATCTGATCTTTGGTTACAAACAACGAGGAGAGGCTGCGATTGAAGCCAATAACCGTAAGTTTGTGCTAGTGAACACGGTCGGTTTTATGCAGGATGTGTTGATTGAGAATTCTAATGATTACTCTCGCTTGCTGTGCTCTGTTTCAGTATTCTACTACTTGTCGTATGAGGGCTCAGTGGATCTCGAGACAATAACGGACCCTGTAGAGAAGTATTCGTTTGAAGCACAGATTCAAGAGTTTGGACAGACGCCTAAACTGCTGTTTGCTGGAGCTCATCCTTCCCGCAACGATGTTGGCAAAGCAGTAGATATCGCGACGCTTGACCTAGTGACGCCTTTACAAAAACTTGATGAATCGGCTAGTGCGACCAACGGTTCAGCGATGAGTGCAGATATCAATACCCGCAGTCGAGAAGGCAGCGATGTCGACGAAAACAAATGCAACGATGGAAATGAAGAGGAGGAAAACGTAACAACGGGGAACCGACGCAGCATGTTTGCGTTCCGAAGTCGCTCCTTTAGCGCTGTACCTAAACAAGCGCAACGGATTGTAGGAGGGATCACAGCACAGATTCGCCGCCGGATGAGCACTGAGACGACTAAGCGCTGGAATTGGACATTTGGTACCATTGGCGATACTTCGTCGTGGGCACCATCAGCGCACTACATGCTGCATGCTAGGCAAGCCTGAACATCACCCTTTATTTGTTTGCCTGCTGCTAGTCTCACTAACTCGTTTGTATCATAGTGAGGTTACTTCTTTGGTCCTAGGAAAGGATGGGCGAGCACTTTTCTCAACTTCGAAAGATTCAACTTTCAAAGTTTCTGCAACACTGGATGGCACATTACGGCGTAACCTGTCCTGTAACCTGGCTTTATCATGCTGTGCTGTGTCACTTGACGAAAAGTATGTTTTCGTTGGATCATGGGACAACTGCATCTACATGTACTCCATGGATGTCGGACGTGTGATCGACCAGATCACAGCCCATGATGACGTTCTGTCGGCTCTCTGTGTGTTTGAAGACCGTTTGCTTTCGAGTTCTTGGGACGGCTCCATCAAGATGTGGCACTATACACCAAAAGGGATTGCGACGGCCCCGTTATCGACGTTTATGGAGTGTGAAGAGTCTGTCGTCAGTTTGTGCGTAAGCATGGATGGTTGCACAGGTGCTGCTGCCACAAGAAATGGTAAGTGCTAAGCTGTCTTTTATGCATGGAATGCATATGCTCATGGGTGTTATGATGTGGTAGGAGTTGTATACCTTATCGATCTACGCACATGCGAACTGATGCGTAAGCTTTTTGCGAGCCCAGTACAATGCGCAGAGATTTGCGGGCTGACATTCTGTGGTGGGGGGTCTACAGTAGCTTGCATGAGCACAGCGAACGAGCTGTCGGTCTATCGAATAGACGGCAAGCGAGTGGTAACGATCAACGTGAACGCTGATGACGGATCTGTCCGGTATTGTCTGCGTGCATCATATTTTACAACTGACACCACTCTGTATCATGTAATTAACCTTTGTTTGTTTTTCGACCTGTAGGTGCTTTGACTCAGACGGAGAATACGCAGTGGGAGGAACGTCTAGAGGCAAGCTGCTATTCTGGAAACTCGATGGTCCTAGTGGCCATGAACAGGTTTTGGAAATCCCGGATGCACATGCCCAGGGCGTGTCAGCATTAACTGTGAGTCTGCACGCATCCACAATTGTGTCAGCGTCTGCTGACGGAGGTGTTCGCATTTGGCATCTGCGTCGAAAGGCCACTTCTCGTGGTCGTTTACCAGCCTTCTTTTAACCATAGATTAGGTGAGTCCTCGCTGCAGCGCGTAGCAGCTATACATACGTTAAAATGGTTGTGTATAATCCTGTCCAAAGATATCCAAATTTCGCAACTTCACTGGCAGCAATATGCTTCCACCAGCATTGAAAAGCTCAGCTAAGACCCCAATTTCGATTACTTCATACATCCACACATACTGCTTATCATCAAGATTTTGAAGTTCGGTTGAGAACTTATTGAGTGCACCTATATGTGCCAAAGCCAAAGCAGAGGCATGTAGATACGTCAACAAATCTGACCCACTTGCACTTTCGTTTTGTGTTTATAAAACATTCACAAGTCAGCTAGTCTTCCTTATACTCGTCGCCCATGACCTCTTCCATCATGCCCTTTAGCTCCAATCTATCGTCAAATACCACCACTGTCATAAGTATTCAACCTTACTTTCACAGCTCAGTCTACGAACCTAATTTCTGACACCTCATCTCCCTGCAGCACATCCTTGACAAATTGTGCCTCTACACGCATCTGCACCATCTCAAGAGCTCCTCTCAGCACACCGCACAGCACGTTCGAGTACCATAGCACTCCATAGGCACTTGGTGGCAGCTCCACAAATTCTGCCATCAACATCACGAGAAACATCGACAACATTCTCAAAAAAAGCTCTCGAAACTCGAAAATTCAGGTCGATCAACTGTACCAGTGAGTGGATTGTCAAAGATAAGGAGACTGCATGCATTGCCCTCCGTGTTCCACTGTGATACATCCACATTGATGCCTAAGAACATTTTAAAGGCTACTTTAGCTACCACCTCTGCCGTCTCCTTAAAGTCTTGACAATTAGTCACGCCCGATTTGGCCAGGAACTCGTCCACTAGCCTCACGCCGATATTGTAGCCCCTAAATACCGTAATATAAATTACCGAGCTTATTTCAGCATCTTTTTTTGTAAATTTGGTGTCAGAATTTTTTTGAAATTTAGAATTTCCAAACATTTTGTCGAGTTGCTGGTTTACGACTTTGAGGTCCTCGAAATCCTTAATGAGTTGAGTCACGAGCGAGCCGTAAGTCAGTGCGAAGAGTTCACCGTTCTAAGAAATACACAGATTAAAAAAAGTAAGAGAAATGCAAGAAGTAGAGGGATAGAATAAACTGACCACTTTAGTCATCTTGCTCCAAGCGGCGTCGCCAAGGCGTTGATGTGTCGACATGCTCTTATTTATTGAAAATGGGTAATATGGTAATGAGAAATGGGATTATGTATATATCTGTGTGAATGGATTTTTATAGGTTCATTTTGATAAAACCCAGTTATATATTATTGTTTGGGTTTTAACCTATGTCTTAAGTTGCAGTGTCAATTTCGACTTGTTGCTTACACAATAATTGCTCTGGTTGAGGTTATTGTTGCAATTCGATACCTGTAGGTACCGATTAAATGCCCAAAATTGTAGACCTCTCGGTAGATTCTTCATGCAAAGACCATGTCTGTTGCTTTAATAATGTTGAAATCATTGCTGGAACTCTATGACGCACGTACAGTCTCAAAGTCGATTTTCTCGCAAGACACGTTGTTGCACTTGAATCACCGAGACATTGGCTCGAATTCTCTTAATCTAGTTTTTATGATTTTCAATCTGAGTCAAGACCTCAATGCTCTTTGAAGCAAATTTAGCGTTTTTAGTTGCTAAAGGGCACACGAAAGCTTGGCAACAACTTTAGCAAGATATACTGGTGTTTCAAGTTGGATCGTTTGATCTGCTCAGCCATTATCTTGTTGTAAAAGAAGTTGAAGTGGACTTGCCGGAATCAAAACGTCTTCAACGAAACGGTGTTGCTTCTGCAGTCTTTAATGTAGGCACAGCAGGTCGATATCATCGCTAATCGCCATCATGGTGGCAATTTTCGACCAGAGACCCGTAATCACCTCAACATCAGTAATTAGGAAATGCCAAAACGCCGGCACGACATCGGTTCGTATAAGAAATGGAGTGAAGCTCAAGTAGACCATTAGACCATTTTCCACCGAGTGACTTAGGAGCCTTGATTTTATTGTACAATTGCATCGCTCCGCTCTCGTAAGGAGATATCTACCACCAAAGTACCTTATTTTGTTTCTAATGAGGTTGATTCTTTGGGTTGTAGAGGATTCGTCAATCAGCTGCATTTGCAGGCCTTGGACGTATCAAATTTAAACGGGTCGTGGTAGCTCTATCGATTCGTGTGAGTGACCTTGTAGTGATACTTCTGGCTGTTGGAAAGTGCAAGCTGCACTTGGTATCGACTCCAGAGCTTTAACCTACGCTAGGATATACGGAATGTTGTAAAGGCTTCTAGATGCTTCTATAGATGTGATAGATCTTAGATAGGAAAATGATCGGGTAGTTATCACTAGTTAATCGGCAAAGCCACTGACGAGGCCCCGGCGGGGACTGAAACGCGTCTGGCACTTGTTAATATACGAGTCATTCATGTTATTTTTAACCTTACTTTCAAACAGCGCTGGCAACCCCCATACCTGTGACAGCGCCAGAAGGACCTTGCCCGTCGTCATATCCATGACAGCGGCAATGGTCAGCGTGTAATCTTTGTCGAGAGACTACTCGTCACCGCACTCTATCATGCGTGCCTTGTAGCGCTCGATACTCCTATCTGCATCCGTAAGACCCACTTCATGTGGAGTGGGCGCATCTCCTTTTTCGCCACATCGGTTTTACGTATCATTTGCCACCAGCAAATCAATCTCAGCGTATACAGCGCGCTCCCATATTAAGCGTTTGTCACTTTCCAAACCCGAATTCAGTTTGCTGGTAGCACCATGTAGCACCAAGATCTCAGGAAAAGAGGCTGCCTTCTTGTTCTGGATCATGTGTATCGACTACACAGGATGCCCGAGTCCATAGTATCGGACCGGGATCCGCGTTTTACGTCGGGTTTTCGGCGTCATGTGTTTGAGCTGCTAGGTAGCAAGCTCCACATGTCAACATCCGATCATCCCCAGACCGACGGCCAAACGCAACGAGCCAATCGAGTCGTGGCGGATGTGTTGCGTACTGTAGCGACTCCTAAAGAATGGAGCAAGTAATTGCCATTCGTGGAGCTCGCTATGAATAATAGTGTTCACGCCAGAACGGGTGAAACATTGTTTTACATTAACGTACTGCGCCATTCTCGAACGCCAGTCTCGTTTGTGCGCAGTCCGAGTCTTAGTGGGTGAGGGCCCCTCACCTCGCTTGGTGCGAATGCCAAAGAGGGTCAAAATTGCCCGAGTGACACTGCTAGTTTTGCAGTGGTCACGGCACATATAGGTGTGCACGGCAAGAAATGCGTGTGCTCATTGACGATAACACTGTAGTGTGATCAAAAGCGTCGACCCATGACCGACCTCTTGGGGGTGTCATAGGCGATCTGGATGCTAAAACGTGATCGAAGGTCAGCGCTTCATAAATGAGCGAGTAGCCATCACACGTAAAGTCCGTGACGCGATGGCAAGCGCACAGGACAAGCAAAAACAATATGCAGACCAGCATGGTCGCAAAAACAATGAACACTTTCGTGTTGGGGACAAAGGGATATTAAGTACTGCTACCCTACCTAAACATGCAATTTATGTACTACCTGGTGGTACTACTAAGTTATTGCCTCGATTCGTTGGGCCCTTTACAGTGGTTATTGAAGTTGGAGACCTAAATTATAGGCTTAATTTCCCACGTATATGAAGACGCACCCCGTGTTTTACGTGGGTCGTCTGAAACGGTATGTTGATCCAGAAGAGATCACATATCCACATCAGTATAACGAGAACGATGGTGACGCCGACTGTGAGTCGAGCGTCGCCACCGATCAGGCGACGAGGAAGCCGAGAGGCTCCCCGTGTATGAACGAGGCGATAGAGGACTCGGTGATCGAGGAGGACTCCGCGCTTGACGCGGGTCTCTCATCACCAGTCGCTCTAAGATGTCCAAACGGGTCTTCAGGCGGTCATACCCCTGACGGTCCCTCGTCCTCACATCGCGCAGATCCAAAGTCAGTCGCGAGACTTGACTCTCAAGATCTGTCACCTGTCTCTTCAGCGCAGCAGACCTAGCCTGCGACTGAACAACAGCAGGGTAGGCAGCCGCGATTAGGTGGGCGTAATCGCCACTTTTATCGGGCGCTACCTGTGTTGGTGTACGCGGAAGGGAATACGCGCTTCCTTGTTGGAAGGCTGTTGGCCCACCGGTTTGTGAAGCGAAAGCTCCAAATCCTTGTCCAGTGGAAGGGTTACCCAACGAGCTTTGACTCGTGGGAGCCTGTGGACGCTTTGCGCGTCGACGTGCCTGGGCTGGTGGCTGCTTATGTGAAGCAGCACCAGCTGTCGTCTTCCTGCTAGGTCCGGATGGACTAGCAGAAGAAGCGTGGCGAGAATTAATTGGGGGCCGCTTACCACCCAAAATTTCATGCGCACGCTTCATGGCGAAGCTGATTCGCTGCGACCGTTGTTTCGTTGCATCATCCTGCAACGTTACACGGCGCCGAAGTTCAGCTTCATCTTCGTCGTCTGTTTCGTTAGAACGCAGCACGACTGGAATTGGGAAAGCACGACCAAGTGCTTTGCCCTGCTTTTTCCACAAAGGAAAGACGCTATAAATTCTATGAGCGTCTATAGTTGCACGCTGCAAAAGCGCTGCTCTAGACCCATCCGAGTTCTTCTCATCAGATGGAGGTGGCATTGGTGGCAAGACACCACTCACGTAGCCGCCCTCGCGACGGCGGGCTAGTGAGGCCGAAGGTGTACTTGGTGGAGCTTTAAGCTCACACTCACCTGAGTCTGACTCTCCATTATGGATTGTCAAGACATCAGCTTGAGAAGTCACATCTGACTGAGTCGAGACTACTCCTTTCGAAGTAGTGTGCTCAGTATTAGTCGCTGCGCTCGTAGGCGCAGACGACGAGGCCTTACCTTTGCTTGTAGGAAGCATAGATGCTCCCTCAAGGACGGGTGCCTCAAATGATGGGGACATATGTCCCATCAATGCGCTTTGCTCATCGCCACTTTGGGGTGATGGCAGTGGTGTGGTCTCATTGTAGTCAACAATGAGAGATGGATCTTCATCCACATTATCGTGAGATGGAAGATTCACCTCAGTGCCTGACGCACTTTGCGACGGCTGCGATAAATTGCGGCGCGTGCGCTTGGTGCTGGACTGCATGGGTTCCTTTGCAGGCGACCCATCAGCCTTACCACGTTTCGGTGGAATAAGAATTGAGTAGACTAAAGCGGCGCGTTTATAACGGCTCGCAAGTCTCTCTGTCTCCTAGGCGATGTTTTACAAAATGTAAACATCGTTTTAAAACGGGGGATGGTGTAACAGGGTACCTAGTTACATGTAAACATTAAGTAATATACTTAATGTTTGGTCTAAAAGTATCCATGACTACTTTTGACCTGTCACTTGGGTGCGATACACAAATGTGATCCACCCTCGTGAATGTGATATCCATTGATGGATTCACATGAGAAGGGATGACGCTAGTTGAAGCTAGGCATCGCGACGTCTCAGAAGGACGTCAGTTGCGAGCTTAAATCTAGATTTAAGATCATGCGACAGGATACGCTTCTAAAGAGTCGCGTATCCGATCTATATATATATATATAGCCAATCAGTAGTTAAGTATATATTTAGTTATAATTAATTAAATATAGCTCAGTCTTGAATTTACTTAAACATACGCACCACGCACGAGAAGTTGAAAAGCTTCTGCGTGATGTCGGTGTTCTAAGTGTTAAGAAGTTCGTTGCACTCTCGCTGAAGCGAGAGGCAACTGGTGGTACGACTGCTTAAGCAGTCGTACCAACCTCCTAACCACCCTCGCACGCGAAGGTAAGACGGTATAACCGCTTCCTCGCTTGTGCATAAGGTGTGTGCTAGTAGTACGAGGCAACTTCGTAGAAGTGCCCGTCTACATGTACTGCCAGCCTAAATACCGAGGTATGGGCTGTGGTCCTCCGTGGGTTAGAGTGATACTGGCCACTCCCTGGTAACGTCAGTGGTAAACCCATCCTCGTGCAGTGCAATAGCAGTGGTTTTGTTGACGTTAAGCTTGAGACCTGAAGCTTTTTCAAATGTGTGTGCTATCTCCAAAGCTTTGTCGATTTCAAACGGGCTAAAAAAGTATATTGCCGTATCGCGGCATAGCCCGCTATACGCTGTGCCATGTGAGAGGTGGCGCTGCGGATCTGAATACCCGTTAGACTTGCCGGGTCATCAAGCTTCTGGTGAAGAGGTGCAAGCGCTAAAATGAACAGGAGCGGAGCGATGTGGCAACCCTTCCTGATCCCCCTCGTGATTCAAATGCGCCTGGACCTTTCGCCATTTGCCAAAAATGTGGCCGTTAGTGCCAGTGAAGCATCGAGATAACCGCTACTAGGTGCGGTGGGTAGCCATGACGACGAAGTACTGCATCCCAAAAATCTCTATCTAGGGAGTCGTATGCCTTCGCAAATCCAGCAACAATGTAAGGGTGTTGCGCTGATCCTCCGATGATAAGGCAGCTTGTTTTGCAACGGCGAAAAAGTCAAGGGTGGTGTGAATATCTCTGTGAGGTACGAAACCCTGTTGGTGCAAATGTACTCTGCTAACCAGCGTGCTCCGTACCGTCGTAGCCAGTATCCGCGTGAAAAGCTTGTAATCCGTGTCTAAAAGGGAAAGAGGGTGGTCATTCAACGGGTTGCACCCAACCCCCGACTTTTTCGGACAAAATATGTTTGTCTCGAGGAAATTCTTAGGAAATACCAGCTCGTGCTCGATGGTGTTCACGACTGGTAGACGCCAACTTTCGCACTCTGGATGTAAACTAGCGGCCAAAGTTTGCCTTCAGGTAGAGTCATTCTTATAAAATACTCATCCAAGTACGAATCGGATGTGCTAGAATCTCACTCCAATTAATGAAGAAACTGCCCTTTTCAGTTCTGCTTCGCGAATAATCGTTGAATGGAGACATTTTTGCCGTCGTTGGCAACGTAGGAGTCGGCTCATCGCATGAAAGTAGGAGTCAGTGATGCAATTGTCTTTGTTGAAAGATACATGTTTTCTAATACTGTAGGACATCCAAGATGAAGGCAAGTTGAAGCTAAGGTGTTTAGTTGCGAATGGAAGTGGGAAGCTAGCTTCACACATGTAAATTATACTAGAGTTTACCAGATACCATTGTGGAAGTCGTCTCTGCTATGACGTCAATGGCTGCGACCTCCATGGCCAGCTACGGAGTCGTCTAGTTGAACTGAGGACATCAGGTAATTAAGATTTGGCATGCCTACTCCACCTCTTTTCTCAGAAATGGTTTCTGCCAGATCTTGGAATGGTAATACTCGGCAGGACTGGTGCTCGAAACCAAGACGCTCACATTCTCGCACAAGGTGAGTGAAATTTAGACTATAGTTACATTGCACTTATGGTGAGGTTTCAGAGAGCTTTGCACTTTGATTATGCGTCGGTCCCTTCGTGGATGGCTTTAACTTCCGAGTGTCGATGGTAAGTCGTGTAGCCAAAAATGTTCGCCAAGAAAAAAAGCGTTGGACACGCCGTAATGACACTTGGACAACTGACAAAATACCTTCTCATTATGAGGATCTATTAAAAGAATTTGCAATTGTTTACGTCGTCACACAAAGTTGGCAGATTACACAGTATGAGGTAGTCATCAATGAAGCTGTATATTGCAAAAAGCCGCGGTTATGAGCACGATGCGCATCTGCTGACATTCGTAAGGAGATTGTGAAAATGAGAGCACGTCTTGTATCTTAAATAAATTGATTGTGAATAGCGAGCGATACAGGGAGAGACAGATTGGTTGAAATAAAAGCCGAGGATATGGAAGATGGTGAGACCAGATGGTCTGTGAACTGTCGTGGTCGTCACTCTACCAACGGCCTCAATGTCAAGGCTCGTATATAACACGCACGACCTCCGCTTTGCATTACACTCGACCAAAAGACGCAAACAATCGACATAATAGCGACGAATGAGAGCACAATTATTAAGATACCCTATGAGCTAGTGGTTGAGTAAGAGCAATAGTCGGTTTCTTATTCAAAAGGACAATGGATTGGGGGTTGAATGGTTATTCACGAAAGGCTTAGAGAAGCTGCATAATGATGAGTCAAAATATATATTATGAACGGATGGAGTCACATGGCAATATAGCGAAGCTATCAGTTGTTTGCTCTATACTTCGAAGCTCGGGTGCGAGCATGTCCATTAGATTGCGTGATTCTTGAAGTCGATAATGCAATGCCTGATACATTTAGAGGATCGAGACGGCGAAACATCAATAACCTAGCCAGGGGCCTGAAGATGAAGACGATGGCATTTTCGAGCACGGTAAGATTTGTCCGAAAATCAACCAGATGCAGTTAGCGGAAGCTCTTAAAGAGGATCTCGTAGTACACGAGCCTGCGGAGAAGTAACGGCGTTCCCGCCATCGTCTCTCCACTGTCGCAAAGAGCCGATGGCATTGCGATCTCGCACGCGTACTACCGCGCGCACAACACCGAGGTGGCGTAGCATGGGCCTAGCTAAGTGCCAGAAAAGAGCTGAGACATAAAACTGAGTAGCGCGAGCGCAACAAGCCCGCCATGTAAAACCCCGTAGTAGGGAGGGGGGGGGGTAGTTTAATTTTATCTTACGAATGGTCCAGCAATGTCATCGGTGCCTCGCATCAAGCACTAAAGAGGCGCTACATGTACATGTTTGCTACGTTGCCTTCCGACTTGAGATTTGCCACAAATGTTTACTAGTGTGATCACTCGTCGCATTATATATGACAATTTTTGCAACGTATCCCACTATGGCGCTAAGCCGGTCAACGCTTGCAACAGCGTTGCCCTCTTTCTTCCACCCTCTTTGCATACAACTCCTACGCTCACGTTATCGATACTGTTATGATACAGAGTCCATATTACATACATGTGTCGAGCTAAGAGCTTAATGCAGGAGCCGAAACCAAACCAGCCAACAATCTTGAGCTCACATCGGCACGTTTGCCACAAGCAAGTGGGATGCCACCTCACGACCACGACGCTCTCTAGAAGCCCAGTTGCGTCGCGCGTGCAATTGAGACCTCGTCGGCTCCCCCAGACGTAATGGCTTATGTCGTCAGAAGGCTACACATCGTGTTGGCTGCACTTACGAGCAGAGACCAGCCTGTATTAGATATGCATCACTTCGCCGTCGATGCTGGTTGCGGCATGAATACATGTAAGCGCAGGCTTTAGGGCAGTAGAGTCGCTATAGCTGGAACGAGCGCTGGTTTTAGCACGACGACACACTGGCTTTGTTTGTCAGCATACAGCCGTTCACAACACAGCTTGACCTCGAGGTAAACGAGACTGCGACGTGGATACACGAGGCGGGACACACATGCGACTATCCCGAGTGGTAGGTAGGGGCAAGTCATATACAAAAGCTGTAGTCGCTCCCACGCTTGCTGTCGTGTAAACATAACCTCGTTCGAGATCGCGTTAAAGTCTGCGCCATCATCGTCGATATATAGACGTTCACATTGCAGTCGACTTTGCGGCCGTGGTGAAGGAAAATATCGAACAAGACGGCGGGAGACTCGGACAAAATCCAGTAAAGCTAGTCGCTCATATTTGTACCATCGCCACGCCCTTTTTCGCGCCCAGTTCCCTCGGCAGCCGGCTTGAAGTGCCGTACAGTACGAAAGGCTCCCGCCCACCGTAAAAGCCTCACACCGATCTCACTTGCGACTGCGCTCATTTGCACGACGTGACTTGCGGTGGAGATTGTAATGGATTTGCATTGATAGTATCAGAAGACGTCATGCCCTTTGCTAGGCGCTGGGCACTCGCTTGCGCCGTAATCACTTGTGGCAACACAATTATGTTGGTGCACAACGATCGAGGTCAAAGTGAGCGATACTGTCCACACCGAATTGCTGCTGTGCCGACTCATACGATCGACGACCGTCTGTGTCACTGCATCCCACTATGCATTCAGTAGTTGCGGATCTGACTACTCTGGTGACTACACCGAGAAGCTACAGACGTGTCCTCGGGTACTTGTAGGTACGCCACTCGTGGGCATTAGAAATGGTCACGAGCCACTTTGACGTACTTATGCAGGCAAAAGCTTGCCTTGGGGGTACTGTAAAGCATGTATTTTTTCGAATCTGGTGCCTTTTTGTAATTCTTCAATCTATCTGCAGCTACGCACGCGCTTGCACGGGTACGCAAGTGACGGCCGTCTACGCGCACAGACAGGACGTTCTCGGCAGAACTAGGTTGGACTTGCATAATAGAACATTGTATTATAATACTGCTTCACTGACTCGAAGCAGCAATACTGGTACACGTATATGGAAAAATATCAATCCATATATATATTCAGAGAGTAGACCTGACGGTTTCATGTATCGTTAAAACCGTCCAGTAGAAATCCAAAAGTCAGGAACCTTCATCACCGTAGGTTTAGTTCCTTATACAAGAGGGAGGGGAAGAACGTGGATGGGTGCATTCACCCACTGTGGTACAAAAACCAGAGACGGCCCAGACATAGCACACCGATCCGATCGCTCATTTCTCTTTTCCACCCCTGGCACTGCTGGTCCTCGTGCAATATCGAGTCAAAAGCTTACCCTGCACTTTGTTCTGTCACGCTTTCGTACAAATGGCTGTTGGTATGACACTTAATCAATTGTATGCACCACCATCCGCAACATCTGGCTCTGTGCCCTCGCCTAGTACTGCATTGACACCACCACAAGGTCGGAGTCCTACGAGCATAGAGGACGCTAAACCCACTGCTGTCATGCAGCAAATGGACCGCATTTATCAAATGCCGTACTCTACGCAGCAGCAACAACAGTACTTGCCACAGAATCCCCAGTCTACCACATCCTATGGGATGCAGTATCAACCTTTGACCAAGCCGGGCTCCTTCACTTCTGAAGATTATGCGGCCGACCCATTGCCTTTTGAATACAGTCGCAAGTATTTACCTCCTCACCGAGAAGACGTGACGACGGGACTACGAGGTTCGTCACCTAATATTGTCGTATCGAGCTACAATGACACTTACGGGTCTCAACCAATTTACACCCCAATTTCTTCGTTTGGTCAACGCTTGAATACTTATGGCCAGTATGTGGAGCCCAGAGGTTATCCCCAGCAGCCTGAATTGGCTACTCAAGTCCCCCAGCCTCATTTTCCCCGATCAATGGAGACTCCAATGTACAATTCTATGTCTAGTTCTATGTTGCCCCACAACTCGTTCCCTACGTTGCTCGATGCTCACGCCATGGTAACAAAAAAGGAAGTGGATACTGACCAGCAGCAACCCCAGACGTTAATGCATGGAGATGTACGTGCTATTCCTAGCACTGGCACAGCTCAGGAAGCCATGATCAAGGTCAAGACACCACTAAAACTCAAGTACTGGAGAAATGGACGACGCAACTTGCAATGTTTTCCCAGTTGCAAAGTGTTTGGAGATTACTCTGCAATCAAGATTGAAGATCTCAAGCAACATGATTTCATGTGGGGGAAATGCCGCGGCAGTTTGGTTACTGAAGTCACACTCAATAGCAACATGTCGTTTGATGACCTCGTGCTGCTTGGACGTGTCCACTCACTAGAGAACATCCCAGTGGCTTTCGAAGAAGCTGTGATCAGGGAATGCATGCTGGGTCGCACCATTGAGATGAACAAAATGGACTCGATGAAGGACCAGTGGATCACGGGAGAACGACTTCCGGACTTTGTGCAGCAAGATGGCAACGTCGCCTGCTTTGAGTTCAAGCCCAAAGTCTGGAAGTATAATGAGGATATGACGCAGGGCAAGTGCAAACGTCGCAATGTCAAGTACTATGTGCAATTTGAGGCTTTCGTGCAGATAGTGGCTGGCGACCGTCGCTACTACGCGTGCATCGGTTCGGGCATGTCGACATCTTTTGAAGTTGGATCGAGCCGTGTGCTTGCCCGCCAGAAACGTAAAGCTGCAACAAGTGCTGTGGAAGCGGTTAACACGAGCTCGCAGTCTGGCATGACATCTATGCAGTCGCAGCAGCTCATGACGCACAATGGGAACCCGCTCATGCACAACGTGATGACAACCCACCCATTGTATGCGCCCACGCCGGTATATCACAACGATGGCCAATCTCGTGGTTTGCCATCGGCTTTCCCGCAAGTGATGATGCTTTCGCAGCCGGAAATGCACTATCCGATGCAGCAGCAGCAGAATTCTTCATCGCAACAGCAGCAGCTTCCGTCATCGCAACAGCAGCAGCTTCCGTCATCGCAACAGCAGCAACTGACTCAGTCGTCTTCATCACAGCCTCTATTGGGAGAGAAGCGCAAGATGAGCAGCGAGCGCCCTGCGTTTCCAACTGACCGCTCGGCCAAGATGCTTAAGGCAATGAGCGGTGTTCCGCAGCCAATCTAAACGGCGCGACTGATGTTGTATACATTCCAGTAAGTTTTTTATAAGCGTGCCGTTTGCTGCTTTTGTGCTGCTGGTGATAGAAGCGTCGCAGCACACCATGTCAGCGCCAATTGAGGTGCTTTAAAGATAGGATTTTTGAGTGATGAAAACCAAGCAGAAGGTCCGCATGATAGGACCCCGTTGTCGGATATGATAGGACCCCGTTGTCGAATAAAAGTCTCGGTATTTATTGTTTAATCAGTCATGCGTTCGTTCGTGTTCGACCATCGACCTTGGACGACAGTTTCGTGAGGCATCCTCAACGTTTAAAAAATACTTTGGAATTCAGCCGACGCTACTTGAGATTCAGTTTCGGCTTCAGTCTTTTCTGCTTGGGAATCTTCAAGTCCCGATCCAAGTACTAATATCCTGTACCTCTGCATTGACGGCCATGATGTACTTGGTGGTAATGCTGCTACTCTTTGTGGTCGATATAGTATCAGGGGCGTCGATCCGAGCGTTGGACGGCTTCGGTCGTCCTGTGGCATGGTGGGCTGTGCTCAAGTTGCCGTCTCATGTCCAGCCGCCCACTGGCGTCAAGACTCGCGTGGTCCCCACACCATGCGACTGTCCCGCTCCGAATTGTAGTAATGTCCCCACTGGTGGGTGGCCAGCACTACAGAAGAGAGCGACGGGGCTTTGCTATCTCTACGCAGACTCAAGGAATCCGAAATTTCGCTACTTTCGAGATGTTGGATATGAATGCTTGGGCCAAGGGGGCAACGACCCAGTGAGTCGCACGCTCAGGCAGAAAAACGCCGACAGTAAACCTTACTGGGCACTATTCAACGACCAGCTCAATGGAATCGCTGGAGCTTTCCATCCTGAGTTTAACCTAAGTATTGGGATCGAGAGGGTCTGTGGAGGGGGAGATTTGTTCAGTGCTCATGCTAAAGGAGCTGTGGCATTCCAGGACGACGGCAGTGGAGGATTCTTCTTACAAACATCGACACCGAATTTCCCTGATCCAACACTTAATGATTCGTTCGTGAGACTTGGCTGTCAGACGGACAACAATGTGCAGTTTGCACAGCATATGTTGGCCATATCATTGGGAGATGCAGAATTGGAGAAGCTTGGAGAGGGATTGCAGCTTGCGAGGTTGTGTTCGGGAAACTTTTTCCGGTACGTATCGCTGCGGAATCGTTTAGGCAGTGTCAATCTGTTTGAAGACGGGGCAAAACAAAAGAAATCCAGCGCCGCAGCGTTTTATCGTGCACTTCTGGACCCACATTTGCCGAAGCAACAGCCGACTGACCCGATAAAGGCTGAGTTTCGACTTAAATTATCGAGTATGACTGAAGAACTAAAATTGGAGAGGTCTCGAGTGTTTGAGCCACTTACTGAGGGCCGTACCCTCGCGAGTCTAGTTAATGAAGAAGAGATTCTAGTACTTGTCAAGAGTCCACGTGCTGCTGTGCCGCCATGGTCACTTGTGGCTGAAATGCTTGATTCCGACGTGAGTGTGGCGTCGTGGTGGGATGGTAGCTACGGCATTCCAAACGTTTGTGCTGGTGATGTCTACACAAACTCTCCATACATGTTTTGTTTAAACAACCCTCCGACAGGAGTGAAGTTAAATGAAGACGGGTCTGCTCCATACAACATCGAAAACCTTATTGAAGCCACGTACGTAATCACTCGATTGTCGACCATGATACACTTGTTGGTATTCACTGTACTTTTTGGTGTTGGCAGCTGGCACTTGAGCGATGGCAGTGCAAATCTGACTTGGCAACTAGCTGGTGGGCGAGTTCCAGGCGGCAATCACGGTAACGCTAATCTGTAAACGCACTGAGGGGGTCAATTACCTCGAAGTACCTGAAGAAGTAGCTGCTAACGATAGCGCATGTACCTCTTTTGATCACCTCCAGCAAAGTGGGGACTAACGACACCTCGAGCCGGACAAGTAAATGCCTCAAATGCTTACGTGACTTTTGGTGACCTCAATATGGAGGGATTTCCTTGTTCCAAAGCTTGCAACGGCTCACAAGCAGGTCGAGGTGGAAGCTTCTTTTCGCTCATGCATCCAGGCTTGCGTACAAGTTTAATTGACTCCGTGATCTCTGGCGCCTGCCGATGTTCTCCTCCTCCCGAAGAGACGCAACGTAATCCAGACGACGTTTTCTTTGCGTCAGTTCTGGATGACCCACGACTAACTACTTTTGAGGAGCTGCGGATGTGCCATCGTGGATGCGTGAAAAAAATCGAGGAGCACGTGGAGCCGGCTCAGTTACCGGTATTGAGCGCAAACGCTTCGTCCTTTTGGACAAAGTAAGTGGCGTCTTCAAATTCTGCTGCTAGCTATTTGTACAGACCAGAAGACGAATTGTAAAACAACGGCCAGCGAGTCGAAGGGTCGAGCCGGTATCTATGCATGTAATAAGTAGTCTACAGTTGTTGTGAAAAGGTATAATTTCGAACGGATTCTGCCATGGACATCGCGCTGTGCACGTTCAGAGGACCTATTGGTAATGTACTAAGAAGCATAACAATAGTGCGTGGTACGATAACCACTATATAGTGTGACGAAGTACAAGATGTCGTGTCCCTGATTCTAGGTGGGACATCGAACAGTTAGTCGTATGATGCTGGGACGCATCGTTACAGTTGACAGTTGAGGTATACCTGTTGGTATCTACTGTAGTCTAGTCTAACAGAGGGGGTTGTCACCTACGAGGTTTTTCCCTCCTCAATCCCAAAGTTGCTCAGTGGGAAGCAAGTGTTCCGTGTTCTCCATTCCCTACTCTGTATACAGAACAACGACACTCACCTGCGCAGTGATAAGTGTGACATATAGACGTTGTTCACTGAAGTATAAGTCTATTTGCACACCTGTCTCGAAGAATACCAGTAGCGTCACTTGTTAGTTGCGACTTAACTCATCTCAAAAGCGCTTTGCATTGTTCGAAATTGCTAACTGCAACAACAGTGCTCAAGCATGACAGATATGCATGGTCATCTATTTCCGAGACGAAAACGTTATAGGGACAAACAAACTTAACTGTGCTTGTCCTCATTCGTCTTGGCCGTTCACCACTTTCAAGTACCGAAACGTGCAAATTTGACGACATTTACGAGTATACGTAACAATGTCATGTCAGCACCGAAGGGTAGCCATCAGACATTGGCTGCAGCTTTAGGTGAAGCTCCGAAGCAAGATTGCAAAGTAAAATTGCGTGCAAAACACACGAGGGAACTGCTGCAGGTAATGCAGGATGCGCGAGATGTTTAGTTAAGTAGATATAGTCATGTGTATGGTGACAAGGTAACGCTGTGTGGATTCAAAACGAAGTTTCGCGGCTAAATGCTCTGGAGGAGGTGATGAAACCAGTTGGTAAGACCTGTAGACGGGCACTTCTACGAAGTTGCCTCGTTTTACGAGCACACACCTTATGCACAAGCGAGGAAGTGGTTAGACCGTCTTACCTTCGCGTGCGAGGGTGGTTGGGAGGTTGGTCGACTGCTTAAGCAGTCGTACCACCAGTTGCCTCTCGCTTGAGCGAGAGTGCAACGAACTTCTTAACGCTTACAACACCGACGTCACGCAGAAGTTTCTCAACTTCTCGTGCGTGGTGTGCTTGTTTAAGTAAATTCAAGACTGATTTATATTTAATAGATTTTAACTAAATGTAAATCTAACTACTGATTGGTTAATATGTAATGATGGGTGCCATCTCTATAGATGCGCATCCCAACGTGCGAGCTTAAATATATTTAAGCTCGCTCAATGACGTAACTGACTGACGTCATTTGATGACGCCTAGTCCCAGCTGGGCGTCATCCCCATCAATGTGAATACACCTAGTGTATATCACATACGCAAGGGTGTGACACATGGTGTGTCTCACCCGAGCGACAGGTCTTAAGTACTTACGTACCTTTTAAGACCTTCCTAACGCATACTTAACGGGTACGTGTAACGTTGAGCCCGTTACACCATCCCCCCTTTTAAAACGATTTTTACATCTTGTAAAACATCGCCTAGGAGACAGAGTGACTTGCGAGCCTTAATATAACGCGCCGCTTTGTCTACTCAATTCTCATTCCACCGAAACGTGGTAAGGCTGATGGGTCGCCTGCAAAGGCACCCATGCAGTCCAGCACTATACGCACGCGCCGCGATTTATCGCAGCGGTCGCAAAGCGCGTCAGGCACTGGGGTGAATCTTCCATCTCACGATAATGTGGATGAAGATCTATCTCTCATTGTTGACTACAATGAGACCACACCACTGCCATCACCCCAAAGTGGCGATGAGCATAGTGCATTGATGGGACATATGTCCCCATCATTTGAGACACCCGTCCTTGAGGATGCATCTATGCTTCCTACAAGCGAAGATAAAGCCTCGTCGTCTGCGCCTACGAGCGCAGCGACTAAGACTGAGCACTCTACTTCGAAAGGAGTAGTCGCGACTCAGTCAGATGTAACTCCTCAAGCTGATGTCTTGACAATCCATAATGGAGAGTCAGACTCAGGTGAGTGTGAGCTAAACCCCCATGTACACCTTCGGCCTCACTAGCCCGCCGTCGCGAGGGCGGCTACGTGAGTGGTGGCTTGCCACCAATGCCACCTCCATCTGAGTGGATGCACTCAGATGGGTCTAGCGCATCGCTTTTGCAGCGTGCCACTATAGACGCTCATAGATTCTATAGCGTCTTTCCTTTGTGGAAAAAGCAGGGCAAAGCACTTGGTCGTGCTTTCCCAATTCCAGTCGTGCTGCGTTCTAACGAAACAGACGACGAAGATGAAGCTGAACTTCGGCGCCGTGTAACGTTGCAGGATGATGCAACGAAACAACGGTCGCAGCGAATCAGCTTCGCCATGAAGCGTGCGCATGAAATTATGGGCGGTAAGCGACCCCCAATTAATTCTCGCCACGCTTCTTCTGCTAGTCCTTCCGGACCTAGTAGAAAGAAGACAGCTGGTGCTGCTTCACATAAGCAGCCACCAGCCCAGGCACGTCGACGCGCAAAGCGTCCACAGGCTCCCACGAGTCAAAGCTCGTTGGGTAACCCTTCCACTGGACAAGGATTTGGAGCTTTCGCTTCACAAACCGGTGGGCCAACAGCCTTCCAACAAGGAAGCGCGTATTCCCTTCCGCGTACACCAACACAGGTAGCGCCCGATAAAAGTGGCGATTACGTCCACCTACTCGCGGCTGCCTACCCTGCTGTTGTTCAGTCGCAGGCTAGGTCTGCTGCGCTGAAGAGACAGGTGACAGATCTCGAGAGTCAAGTCTCGCGACTGACTTTGGAACTGCGCGATGTGAGGACGAGGGACCGTCAGGGGTATGACCGCCTGAAGACCCGTTTGGACATCTTAGAGCGACTGGTGATGAGAGACCCGCGTCAAGCGCGGAGTCCTCCTCGATCACCGAGTCCTCTATCGCCTCGTTCATACACAGGGAGCCTCTCGGCTTCCTCGTCGCCTGATCGGTGGCGACGCTCGACTCACAGTCGACGTCACCATCGTTCTCGTTATACTGATGTGGATATGTGATCTCTTCTGGATCTACATACCGTTTCAGACGACCCACGTAAAATACGGGGTGCGTCTTCATATACGGTGGGAAATTAAGCCTATAATTTAGGACTCCAACCTCCTCGACCACTGTAAAGGGCCCAATGAATCGGGGCAATAGCTTAGTAGTACCACCAGGGTAGTACAGAAATTGCATGTTTAGGTAGGGTAGCAGTACTTAATAGCACTTTGTCCCCCACACTGAAGTGTTCATTGTTTTTGCGACCATGCTGGTCTGCATATTGTTTTTGCTTGTCCTGTGCGCTTGCCATCGCGTCACGGACTTTACGTGTGATGGCTAATCGCTCATCCACAAAGCGCTGAGCTTCGCTCACGCTTTTAGCATCCAGCTCGCCTATGAAGCCCCCAAGAGGTCGTTCATGGGTCGACGCTGTTGACAACACTATAGTGTCATCATCAAGGAGCACTGGCATTTCTTGCCGTGCCTCCTTTGTGACACCTATAGGTGTCGTGACCACTGCTAAATTAGCAGTGTCACTAGGGCAACCTTGCCCTCTTTGGCATTCGCACCGAGCGAAGTGAGGGGCCCTCCCCCACTAAGACTCAGGCTGCGCACAAACGAGACTGGCGTTCGAGGATGACGCAGTCCGTTGATATATAAAACGGTGTTTCACCCGTACTGGCGTGAACACTGTTATTAATAGCGAACTCCACGAATGGCAATTGCTTGCTCCATTCTTTAGGAGTCGATACAGTACGCAACACATCCGCCACGACTCGATTGGCTCGTTACGTTTGGCCGTCGGTCTGGGGATGATCAGCGGTTGACATGTGGAGCTTGCTACCCAGCAGCTCAAACACATGTCGCCAAAAACCCGACGTAAAACGCGGATCCCGGTCCGATACTATGGACTCGGGCATCCCGTGTAGTCGATACACGTGCTCCAGGAACAAGAGGGCAGCCTCTTTTCCTGAGATCTTGGTGCTACATGGTGCCAAATGCACCATATTGCTCAGTCTGTCTATAAAGACGACGAGCCCCGTCCTGCCTTTATGGTCAGGCGGTAAGCCAAACATGAAGTCTAAACTGACCGACTTCCAACATTCAGTTGGAATCGGCAGTGGCTTCAGTGTCGCACTGTTTGAAGGTGCAGGCTTTATGCGCTGACACTCTTCACAAGAGCGAATATAGTTGGCCACCCACCGATATAGGTGGGGGCCACCAAAATTCCTCTGACACTCGTAAGAATGTCTTTTCACGGCCCAGATGCCCACTAGATGGCGCATCATGGCACTCGTGAAGTATCATCAGCTTGAGATCTGTGTCATGAGGGACATAGATTCTCAAGGGATCACAGGGTGACAGTTGATGCCATAACAGGCCATCACTGTAACTAAAGCGATTTAACTTCGCTTTGAGGTGCGACGGAAGGGTAACCTTTCGTCCACCAAAATGATCCAACAGCAGGCGACAATGTTCGTCCTGACTGTAGCACTCCTTGATATCGGAGGCTATTGAGCTCGTCACATGGTAGGCCTTCATGGCTGCCAATGTTGACGACTCAACTTGTGCTTTCGCACGAGACACACTATCCTGGTGTCTTGCCTCGAAGTCTGGTCTGCGCGATAACGCGTCAGCCAAGACATTCGACTTACCCGGCTTATATTCAACTTTGAAATTAAATTCAGAGAATAATGTTAGCCATCTTGCCATTCTCGGCGAGAGGTGCGGTGAATTTATAGCGGTCCGCAGTGATGCGTGATCCGTATAAACCACAAAAGGTTCGGTGC